TATTTTAACTATCACTTGTTAGGTCTTTTCAACAACAACAAAATGTTTTTTAGCTATAAACTTCTTACATATTTTTACACCTTGTAATCCTTTTAACGGTTACTAGTAGATAAATATACCACTGACATTTTCTGCACTTCCTGGTCCACGGTACCAATATGTACAGCGTGTGTGATTTGCTTCATGGAACATGGTACCAGCATGGCCTACTTTAAATGAAACTGATAACAATTTTATGTGCAGCGAGTACAATGTTTACTTAGTATTTTGTGTGTATTTTTGGAAAGTTGAGTAAGATAGGTTATGGCTCATGTGTAACCAGGAAGTGTGATGGACTTCCTGGGCCATGGCACCGTTATGTACCGGGTTTGCAATGTACTTCAGGGAACATGGTACTGATATAGCCACTTGCAAGTTGCACCTCATTTTTTCCAATAGTAAAAAACTACCAACAAACTGTGTTCAGCATCCATTCCCTTAGTGAAAAAACATGGCATCACCCACAAATTCCACATCCCCCCAAACAAAGTTCACTTATGAAAGGTTAACTTATTTCCTAGACCACTCCTCTTTCTTAACCTCCACATCTACAGCTTGGATATTTTTTATCCTTAGTGTCTGTCCTCTAAAACTCCATTTATTCAGTTCACTCTTCAGCCAAAGATTAGACAGGCCCATAAAACAAATAATAATACACATAGCTCAACCACATTTATGAGACTAAATGGGCACACCAGCCCAGGGGCAAGGACGAGAAGGCAGGAGGGGACAGAAGGCTGGACAGATGGAAGTGGAGAACCCAAGGTTGAGAAGGGGAGACTGTTGACATGTCCTGGGGTTGGCCACCAATGTCACAGAACAATATGTAGATTAATTGTTTAATGAGAAACTAATTTACTGTGCAAACCTTCACTTAAAGCGCAATAAAGAAATTATATTATGTGAAGTGAAAGAAACCAGACCCAATGAAACTACATGTTATGTGATTCTATTAATATGAAATTTCCATAAAAATATTTATAGATACAAAAATATAAAACTCCTTATTTATTCATTCAATAAATATTTATCAACAACCTACTAAGTGCCAATACACTTCCAAACCAACATATGGACTCTATGTCCAGTTACTGCTCCCCTGAGCCCCCAGGGAGGGACTCTTAAAGATGAGCCCAGAACTTGGTTCCCCTTAGCCACAAAAAGCTCCTTCCACCTGTTAATTCTCGTGTGCCATACAGATATTTTCTCTGCATTCCAAGATGTGAAAAGTTTAGGAAAATCTAACTCAGGGGGTAAATATAGATAGAAAGGAAGAGAATCTGAGGAGTGTGCTTTGGGGCACTCCAGCCTTTTGAGGGCAGAGTAAGAAGGAGGAACCAGCAATGGAGTCTAAGGTAGAAAGAAAACTAAGTGTATTGTCCTGGAAGCCAAATGAAAAGTGTATCAAAAAATAAAACCACTGGATAAAAAGTATCAAGTAAGATGAAGCATATGAACAAACCATTGGATTTAGCGGCGTGGAGGGTCTTGGCAAAATCTGTTCCAGTGGAGTGACGGGAATCTGATTGGAGTGACACCAAGAGAGAATAGGAGGAGAGACATTAAAGACAGAGAGTATTGACCAGTCTTTGCCAAAATGTTGCCATAAAGCAAATCAAGGACGCAGTAGCTGAAGACAGATGCGGGGTCTAGGGTAGATGGAAAGACGTGGTGAGGGGGGCTTGGTTTTCTTTTTTCCTGGATGTTTCTATTTTCACAGTTACAAAAGAAAACATCAACTGAGTGGGAGATGGGTTAGAGCCAGTATTAGAAAAAAGGAGAAAGGGTGAATTTTCCACTAGGAAATCACTACCCGGAGTGTGGCACCCTACCAGCAGCTCTGTCATCACCTTGGAGCTGGTTGGAAGTGCAGATTCTCAGGCCTCACTCCAGAGCTATTGAATGAGGCTCTGCATTGTACCAACATCTCCAGGAGATTGCTGTGCACTTAAGCCTGAGAAGCACTGATAAAGGAAAATGAGAGAATGAATGGACCAGGGAAACGCAGGAGGAAGGTAGGGCGGCACCGTGGCCTACATGCAGCGGTGTTTACGGATTGGAGACAGATCAGCACGGGTGTGTTTTCGCCAGCTCCTGGAAGCCCCAGGGGCAGGCACAGAGCAGAAAGGGAACTGGAAATTATCCAGGATTCGTTGATTGCCAGGCATGCACAGCAAGGGGAGAGGAGCAAGTAAGTTGAAGGCATAGGTGTGAGAGTGAGTATAACGGTGGGCCATGGAATCTCGTCTATGTTAGCAGGGAACTGTGGATATGTGAGGGGTGAAAGAGAGCCAGAGATGACTCTACTTTGCTTAAGAATTCTCCAGACAACTTGTTGAAAATGCAGAGTCCAGACCAACGTATTCTGAGTCTTTAGAAATCTAAATTTCTACCAAGTGCCTCAGGGATTCCGCTGAGGCTTTCTTTGGGCCAGACTCTGTGGAGATCATCAGGCGTTAACCTGGCAAGATGCCTGGCAAGCGTCAGAACACGGTGCCCAGATGCTCTGACCTCACTGGGCACCTTATGTATTTATCTTTTCACCTGCGTTACTCCCGACAAGCGTAGAAGATCCACTGTCTCACAAGATTTATTAGACAAGTTAACGTTGATATCTGTAAAATAGCTAATGAGGGCCTGTGGAGAGAGCTTCACCATCTCTTCAATGGAATTTCATCAAATTCCATGTACATCTGCCTTTAAAATAGAGATTCAAAGAAGTTGAACTGAAGTATAGTGGGTATTTCTTAGATGGAATAATTTTGCATTTCACTGCGTGCCTTGTGATTTGACGTTCTCTTTTCTGATAGCAAAGGATGGTGATTACTGGAGATTGCTTGTACCCGGAAACTATAAACTTACAGCCTCAGCTCCAGGCTACCTGGCAATAACGAAGAAAGTGGCAGTTCCTTACAGCCCTGCTGTGGGAGTAAGTAATCTTAATCACAACTAAGATTTCTTAAGCACTTAATGTTTGTCAGGCATATTTAAGCGATTTATATTTAACCTTCACAATACCCCTATGAGGTTATTATCCCCATTTAACATATGAGAACACTGAGGCATAAGGAAGTTAAGTAGCTTTCCCAAGGTCTCATTGGATGATTCGTTCATTGAATGACACTCAATGTAAAGCCCTGGTGGCACAGTGGTTAAGGGCTCAGCCACTAACTGGAATGTCGGCGGTTGGAACCCAGCAGCCGCTCTGCAGCAGAAAGATGTGGCAGTCTGCTTCCGTAAAGATTACAGCCTTGGAAACCCTATGGGGCAACGCTACTCTGTCCTTTAGGGTCACTGTGAATCGGAATTGATGCCATGGCAGTGAGTTTGGCTTTCCATTTATCATTTTTTCAGCGTTTAAAGAGATCTACAGCAAGAAAAATCAAATAAAACTTAAACACAAAGCTTTGTGTGCTGACCTTGATTTCAGTCTAGGTGGATTTCATTTGTCTTTTTACCCCAGCACCTAGCACAGTGCCTTTGTGGTCGCTGTGTGCTGTGGAGTCAATTCCCACTCCTAGTGACCCTACGGAACAGAGTGGAACTGCCCCATGGAGCTCCCTAGGCTGTAATCTTTACGGGAGCAGATCGGTAGGTCTTATCTCCCGTGGAGCGCCTGGTGGGTTCAAACTTAATCAATAAATATTTGAAGAAATAAATGATGCCTACAAGTTAATTTTAGGCATTAACCAAACAATTATTAAGCACCTACTATAATCAAGGCTCTCTATGCTAAGCATTATCAAAAAACTACATCTTAAATTTAAGTAGATCCCATTTATATTGCTGGGAAAATTATGGTGATGAGGTCAAAACACGTCTTAGAGCAGAAATTACTATTATTTTAGTATTGCGGCACTGGGACCGTGGGATGACCTGCAGGGTTTCCAATCAAAAGGCTTATTTAAAAAGAATTTATTGTATTTTTGTTTATACACCTAAAATATGGAGTACAAATGCTTGATTTTTGCCAACAAGGTACCTTGAGTTTTTAACTGGTGTTTGGTTTTGATTGAGTGCGTGTTACAGTAGGTTGTCTATGTATTAAAATCAGGCAGCAGATTCGGGGAAATGAAATCAGACAAAAAGTAGCTTCAGAAACAGGTTGTGAAGAGTTCAGCTATGTCGAGCCTTAGCCTTTCTGGCACGTGTGACACCAAGGAGGTATGACCACGTACCTAAACAACCACAAGGTCAACCGGCCACATCGAGGAAGTCTTTAGTCCCCTCTGGAATCGGCACTAAGATATTTAGCTATCTAGAGCGCCTGAGGACGATCGGGGTGGGAGGGGGAACTACGTATTTTGAACAGCCCTTTATGCGAGAGCTTATGGATTCTCTACAGACGTGTTAAAGACGCGAGATAAAGGCACAAGAACAGTTGAGTTCCTGGGCCGCTGACTTGTATGGTGGTTTGGAGACGTATATAATTCAATGCGTTTCTTTAACAGATTCTATAAAACAGAACCTTGTGGTTTGGAATATACCAGAACACTAAACCGGATGCTTCCACATCCCTCCAACTGTTAGGAGAAAACTCAAGGTTGATAGGAGAAACTCAATGAGTAGTCAAAAACAGAAAACCTAATTATCGCACATCTTATATGGGGTAAAAAAACTGGGGCGTAGGATTTTGCTT